TAATTCCCCATGAGGGCTGGTTTAAGATCCCACTCTCTGTACTGTCTGCTGCTTCTCAGTTTCCTGTTGCTGGGACTGAACAGCCTCTCTTTTAGGCCTGTCCCTGAAGACTCTCAGGGACTATTCAGATTTTTTTTGTATCCTTTTTACCACTCAGGGTGTAGTCTGGGTGTGGCTGTATTGGTTGCCTGGAGACTGCAGGGAGGGGCTATCTCTTCAGGATAAAATAGCTGCCTAGGTCCAGCCCTTCAGCAATGACTCAGCGCCAGACTTGCAGCCACCTTTCCCAGACACTCTCCTCTTCCCAGCCTCTCCCCAGACTCCACAAGTCCGCACCTCCACCTGCACTTCAGCTACGGGTGAGTGTATTTGAAAGTTCCTATGAACTAGGTTTAGGGAATAAAAGCAAAGACCAAAAAGAGGAGAAAGAGCTGCACCACTGCTAATCCCTCTCCCCTCTGAATGGCTGCCCCCTCTGGGCTCAGTCTCTCATGTCTGTGGACTTAGATCTAGAATCCCTTCCCACCAGCAGTCCTGCAGACATCCTTTCCACAGTCAGATGCTACCCCTGTCCCAAGGGACGTGGCCTCTGTGCAGTGCAGCTTCCTTCTGACCCTATGGGCTTGGAGGTCTCACAGATCTCCCCAGCCCACATCCATGATTTTACTGTTCTCTAGGCATCCTCTGCCCTTCCCAGCTGCGAATTGTCTCACCAGCTGTGTCTACTTTGCCAATTCAGAGTGGATGTTTTTCAATTTAGTTGCTCATTCAATCTGCTCTGGGACAAGGCTCTGGACACGTCCACCTATTCCACCACCATTTTGTCTTCCCAAAATGTACAATCTTGAAGAAGTAGGTAAATTCCTAGAAATATACAATCTTCCAGGACTGAATCAAGAAGCAATAGAAAATATGAACAGACCAATAACTACTTAGGAAACTGAATCAGTAATTTAAAAAATAAAACTCAAATAAGCAAAAGTTCTGTAACAGATGGCTTCACACATTAATTTTTTACAAACATTCAAAGAACTAACATGTATCTTTCTCAAACTAATGAAAAATGTCAGTAGGAGGGAAAGCTCTTAAATTCATTTTACAAAGCCAAAATTACCCTCATTCCAAAACCAGAAATAGACATTTAAAAAATAAAAATTGTAAGCCAATATTCTTGATGAAATTAGCTATAAAAATCCTCAAGATAATATTAACAAATTGAATTCAACAATACATTAAAAACTAGGATTTATTCCTGGAATGCAAGGTTATCTCAATGTCCACAAATCAATTCATGTGATACACAACAGAAACAAAATGAGGGATAAAAATCATATGATCATATCAATAGATGTGAAAAGGAATTTGAAAATATTCAACCTCCATTTATGATAAAAACTCAGCAAAATGGGAATAGAGGTAACATTCTTCAACACAATAAAGGACATATATGACAAACTCACAGCAAATGTGATACTTAGTGGTACATACTAGAAGCATTTTCACTAAGAAAAGGAACAGGATAAGGATGTCCACTTTCACCACTCATATTCAACCTGGTATTGGAAGCTGTAGCCACAGCAATTAGACAAGAAAATGAAATAACAAGTATCCATGTTGGAAAGAAAGAAGTGAGACTGTCATTATTTGCAGATGGCATGATACTATATATAGAGAATCCTAAAGACCCCAACAAAACCTATTAGAACTGATGAATTAAGTACAGTATCAGGATACAAAAATAGTGTTCAGAAATCAGTTGCATTTTACATACCAATAATAAACTATCAGAAAGGGAAATTAAGAAAACAAATAAAATGCCTGGGAATATATTAAACCAAGGAGGTAAAATATCTGTATTTGGAAAATTGTAAGACATTAGGAAATAAACTGAAGAAGACACAAATAAATGGAAGCATATACCATGATCATGGATTGGAAAAATTAACATCATTAAAATGTTCATATTATCCAAACCAATCTATAGATTCAATACAATGCCTATCAAAATACCAATGCTATTTTTTTTTACAGAAATACAACAAATCATCCTAAAATTTATATGGGAATACAAAAGACCCTGAATAGCCACAGAAATCCTTAAAAAGAGGTTCAAAGTTGGGGTCATCGTGCTACCTGATATGAAACTATACTACAAGGCTATAATAATCAAAACATCACAGTACTGGCATAGAAACACACACGGAGACCAATGGGACAAAATAAAAGCCCCAAAGAAACCCTCACCTACATGGTCAATTAATCTATAAATTAGGAGGCAAGAATATACAGTGAGGTAAAGATAGTTTAAGCAATAAATAGTATTGGGAAAATTGGACAGATACGTGAAGATGAAACTAGACTACCAAATTACACATACACAATGATAAATTAAAAATGAATAAATGACAAATATAAGTCATGAAATCATTAAAATCCTAGAAGAAAAAATCAGCAGTAAAATCCCTGACATTTATCTTAGCAATATTTTTTTCAAATATATCTCCTCAACAAGGAAAACAAAGGAAATAATAAACAAATTGGACTACATCAAACTGAAAAGTTTTTACACAGCAAGGGAAACCATCAACAAAACAAAAGGCAACCTACTGAATAGGAGAAGATATTCACTAATGATACATCTGATAAGGGGTTAATATCCAAAATTTACAAATAACTCATAAGACTCAACACCAAACAAACAATCTAACTAAAAAGTGGGCAGAGGATTTTCAGTAAAGCCGAAGCAATTTCTTCACTGATACATCTCCTAGGGCACTTGAAACTAAAGAGAAAATGAACAAATAGGACTACATCAAAATAAAAAGCTTCTGCACAGCAAAAGAAACCATCAACAAAACAACAAGAAAGCCCACTGCGTGGGAAATCATGTTTGCCAATGTCATTATCTGATAAGGGTCTAATCTCCAAAATTTATAGGGAACTCATACAACTTAATAAAAGAAAATAAACAATCCAATCAAAAAATGGGCAAAGGATCTAAATAGACACCTTTCAAAAGAGGACATTCAGAAAGCCAAGAGACATATGAAAACATGCTCAAAGTCACTAATCATCTGAGAGATGCAAATCAAAACAACAATGAGGTACCATCTCACACCTGTCAGACTGGCTATCATCAACAAATCAACAAACGACAAGTGCTGGAGAGGATGTGGAGAAAAAGGAACACTTGTGCACTGCTGGTGGGAATGCAGACTGGTGCAGCCACTATGGAAGACAGTATGGAGTTTCCTCAAAAAACTACAAATGGAACTCCCATTTGACCCTGTGATCCCACTTCTAGGAATATATCCCAAGAAACCAGAAACACCAGTCAGAAAGGATATGTGCATCCATATGTTCATAGCAGCACAACTCACCATAGCTAAGATCTGGAAACAGCCTAAGTGCCCATCTGTAGATGAATGGATTAGAAAACTGTGGTACATCTACATAATGGAATACTATGCTGCTGTAAAAAAGAAGGAACTCTTATCATTTGCAATGGCATGGATGGAACTGGAAAGCATTATGCTAAGTGAAATAAGCCAGTCAATGAAGGAAAAATACCACATGATCTCACTCATTCATGGATAATAAAGACCATTATAAACTTATGAACAATAATAGATACAGAGGCAGAGCTGCCTCAAACTGATTGTCAAACTGCAGTGGGAAGGCCAGGGAGGGTTGGGGGGCAGGAGGAAGGGGGTTAAGAGATCAACCGAAGGACTTGTGTGCATGCATATAAGCATAACCAATGGACATAAGACACTGGGGGTAGGGGAGGCCAGGGGATTGTCAAGGGTGGGGGGGAAAAAAGGACACATATGTAATACCCTTTGTAATACTTTAAGCAATAAAACAATAATAAAAATTGTAAACAGGATAAAAGGCATAGGTGATATAAAATGAATAATGCAAAAGTCACTCCTACAAATGTGGAGTGCATCTATACTAATAAAAGGGTAATATGCTAATTAGACCAAACATCTTCCGGACAACCTTCCTGATGTCCTTCCGGACAAAGCCATGGTGGCAGGGCCAAGGCAAAGGCAGTTAGGGGTGATCAGGCTGGCAGGGGAGAGCAGTTAGGGTGATCAGGCTGACAGGCAGAGGTGGTTAGGGTTGATCAGGCAGGCAGGCAGGCCAGCAGTTAGGAGCCAGCAGTCCCAGATTGCATGAGGAATGTCCCTGCGGGATTGGGCCTAAACTGGCAGTCAGACATCCCCCAATGGGTCCTGGATTGGAGAAGGTGCAGGCCAGGCTGAGGGACCCTCTCCACCCCCCTGTGCAAGAATTTCATGCACTGGGCCTCTAGTTCAGATCTAAAAACTCAAATGTTCAAATTGTAACCTCCTTTAGTCAGTTCAGTCTCCTCCAATGCATCCCATCGCTTAGTAGCCAAAGAGTAACCTGGAAGGTGGTCCTAGATTAACATAGATATCCATTAGATGGATTCCACATGCAGAAAGTTGCACCCAGAATCTGCCCTCTTAGGAATGCCACACTCTGGCTCTTTCCCCCAATTCCTAATAACCTTTCTGCCATAAAAATCAAATAATGGGGCATTCAGACATTATTATATATCACCAATTCACAGAAACTTATTTCCACTGCATTCAAAGATTCTGAATCTGCTAATTCTCTTCAAAAATTTAGAAGCAATCAATAAAATAGTGGGATATAAATTGGGATCATCAACATTAAATATTATGATGTGTTCTTTGCACACAAAGAATGTTTTTGTTTGTAAACAACTCTAACTTGTTTCTCACAATGCTCAGTCAACACTTATCCAGAAAAACAAGATATAGAAATTGAAAGCAATACAGCAACTAAATGATGCTATTGTAAGATTCTGTTCCACTACGGCTCTAGCCGGTAATCTAAATGGTTTAATTCTTGCTAAAAACTCCCTTCTTATTTCTAATAGGGTTTTTACCTTACAAAAAATATCTGTTAGGTGTAAGAGCTCATTGCCTCCTTTTCCCCACCAGCCCTGGTGATGGACACTCCTTCCCTATGAGGTGCATGAATGAATCACAGAACCCACTGCTAGCAAATGAAGAGCACTGGGAAGACAATGATTATGACAACCCAGGTAAGTAGGCTCAAAAGGAAGGAATTATTTTCTCCATCCAGCAGACAAAGCACTAATAAAAATCGTGTTAACTAATAAAGACCAATGTAGTGTAGTGAGAAAATTTTGTTCAGAAAGATTATATAACATACTAACCTCATAAGTGCCCTTTGGATGGAGGACAAGTGTGGCCAGATTTGTAAATCTGCCCTCTTAGGAATGCTTCACTTTGGCTCTTCCCCCCAATTCCTAATAACCTTTCTGCCATGCAAGCCAAATAATGGGGCATTCAGACATTATTATCTATCACCAATTCACAGCAACTTATTAGCAAACTAGAGGCCCATTGCAGGAAGATTCCTGTAAGAATAGGGCTTCCTGCGGCTGGAGCAAAGCGGTTTTTTTCTCCCGCTCCCAGCTGCTAAGGCTGGGTTTCCCCTCCAGCTCCCAGCCGCTGCGGCTGGGTTTGCCCTCCCACTCCCAGCTGCTAAGGCTGGGTTTCCCCTCCTGCTTCCCGCCTCCACAGCCTTGGCTCCGTTCCTGTCTCTGCCACCTCTACTTTGCTCCCTTCTGTAGTGCTTCGCTTCCACATTGTCTTCAGTCTTCACTCCCAGCCAGTATATGCAAATTAACCGCCATCTTTGTTGGCGGTTAATTTGCATAGCATGCTGATTAGCCAATGGGAGGCATAGCGAAGGTAGGGTCAATTACCATGTTTGTCTATTATTAGATAGGATATGAGTGGCATAGGCAGAATTAGATGACATCTTGGGTGGTTCATTACCAGCTTTCTGATACCATGATTATAACCAATCAGATAAATCAGAAAATATAATAAATAGTTTTGGCAGTTGGTCACTCATTGTCCTTTGCTTGAGTTAATTCAATCATTGGGCAGCAGCTTACCTTTCTCCACCCCGATTCATTCACAGTGATTAAATTTTCTCTGAAATTTCATTCTCATTCTCTTTTAGAATGGCTTAATTACATGAAAAAATAAAAGATAGCATTGCAGGCAAGGCTACACATGCATGTAGCCTACTTTTCTGAGAGGCAGAGGAGCAAAGTAAAAATAAGGAAACAGAACTTTTCCCTTCCACATTTCTCCAACCAGATTATTGGGTCATCTTGAGATGTTTTTTGTGAAGAGCTGAAAGTAAAGTTCTCATGCCATGTATCCCCATTGCCACCTATTATTTGTCTTCATGTAATGCTATGCTTTCTAGTGTGCCTCCGCAATTTGTTTATGTTACTAATAACAGGCTTCACAGAGTAATTTTTAGTGGCTGGTCCCAATTATGCAGTATCTGACAAATTTTTAGTAATAATTTGAGGCTCATTAATGTGACAAGAAGAGCTGGGAAACAAGTCTTCTTAAATGTTACCTAGTTAGATTATCTAGGTCCAGATTCTGTACCTGGAAGTCCAGTTTAAGAGTGAGTTATGTTAAGACTAAGGAAGGCAAAACAGTCCAAAATCCATATTTACAAAAGGAAAGAGTTTTTGCCCAGCCCAAAGAACTTGTAACACAAGAAACTCCCTTACTTTCTCCTGCTTACTCTCCAATGAAAAACTGACTGTATTTTTTACTTACCTTCCTTTGGCTATCAGTCTTTCCTTAAAAGACTTTAACTTATAACAGTTATGAGTAAAGGTAATAGCTTTTATTTTGGTATTAAAAAACCGAAACCAATAGAAATCAGAGTCTTCTAATAGGGTCTTAACCTTATTTAACATATCTCCACAATGGAAAAAACTATTCATATCTGAACCTGATGTTGACAAGCAGAATACTTTAAGTACAGGTGTAGCACTACATTATAAAGAAGTTATTTTCTTGAGGCAGTTTTTAACTCCAGACTTGATTAAAAATATTCAATCATTAAAAGGTATACAATTTTGTAATTTACAAAGTACTTTCACATACTTTTTTCATATATTGGTCTCTCGCAATTGTCATGTTCAGTAGGCATTATTATTAATACCGTTCTCATTTTATAATTGAGAAAACCGAGATTTGGAAATATTAAACAACTTATCCAATATCACATAGCAAGAAAGAGGCAAAACTTGGATTTAAAGTAAGGTATCCTGATTCCAAATCCTGGATTCTTTCCAATATAATGCTATTTCTATTCTTTGGAAAACTGCTCTGGGTAGTTGAAGAGTCTCTGAGTGGTAGGCTTACTACAAAGGCCTGAAGCCAAATCCATAGCAAAACAGAAAAAGTCCACACTAGGGTCTGGGTGGCCATGGCAAAGTGGCCTTCCTAAAATGTAAATGCGATTGTATCACTCCCTTATTCAAAAACCCTTGGAAGGCTCCCCACTACATTAAGAGTCAAGTCCTAACTAAGTAACTTGGCTCCAGACTTCCTTCCTGGCACAGTTTCTCAGCCTTTGAAGTCATGGACTCTACACTTAAACTATGAAAGGCTCCCCTTGTTCATTGCTGGTTTCCCCACAGTTACCTCAGACTCCCCATGTCCTAAACCAAATGGTCCACCGACCCAGCTGCTCCCCCTCTACAGTGTCCTGCTCCCTCTCCATAGTATCCCGTTCTCCTTTACACCTGGCATCTATTTCAGGACCAATTCCAGTCACTCCATTATTTCAGACATTTCCCACTGCAGCCACCACAGAACAGAACAGGGTGATCTCTTGCCTGACAATTACCATATTCTCTCCCTACAGCCCCAGTGAGATTTCAAAGCAGCCTCTGATGCAGTTCTGCTTCTCCTTGAAGCTGGTCATCCAGAGGACCTATTGCTTCCCCAGTCTTTGTCTTTGTCTTGCTGAGCTCCTTGCCTTCTCTGAACCTGATTGGCAATGTCCTATTTCTGGCTCATTGCTCTTATTATCATTTTCACCTTCCATAACCTGCCACCTCTCTGCCTGTTCAACTTCCCTGCAAGGCTCTTGGAAAATACTGCTTCCTCTAGGACAGTGTTTCTCAACCTTGGCTGCACATTAGAATCACCTGGGAATCTTTTTAAAATCCTGATTTCTGGGCCTCATCCTCCGGAAATTCTGTTCCTTTGTTACTAATGTGGCCCCACCCCATAAGAAAGAAACAGAATTTCCGGAGGATGAGGCCCAGAAATCAGGATTTTAAAAGGATTCCCAGGTGATTCTAATGTGCAGCCAAGGTTGAGAATCATTGCCCTAGAGTCAGCTAGCCTGGGTTTATAACCCCAGTTCTGATACTCCCTAGTTCCTAGAACAATGTCCAATACCTCTTAGAGCCTCAGTTCTTCACCTATAAAATGGATAGTTATTGCCTCATAGGGCCCTTATGAGGAGGAAATGATTAATCTGTATGTAGTGCTAAGGGAAGCTCCTGCCACAGGGTAAATGCTGTCATGGTATTATTATTGCTATTGTCATTAATAATATGACCTCTTTACTGGTCTGCCAGGCCCTCATGGGCAGGAACCAAGTCAGACCCCTTTGGTCTTCCCTATCGGAGTTGCTCAGAGACATTTGCTGACTGAACTAAGGTGACCCCATTCCCCACCACCACCACCACCACCTCAGGCTCTAGAAGGAAGGAGGGAGGCTGAGAGACATACGAAATGTCCTCTCCTCCTTGATGTTAGTGCGGCCTGGGGAACAGGCCACTCTGCTGCAGCTTCCAAGCCTCCTGCCTCTCCTCTGAGGCTACTGTGAAGCTGAATGTCCCTGAGCCTGGGGGCGATGGACAAAAACTGGAGGGAATCCAGAGGAGTGAAGTCCCTGAACCCTTGGGAAGGGGCAGGCCCAGTAAAGTAGGGAGATGAAAGCAGTTCCATGTGTGTGGCTTGGCTGAAGAACAGAGCTGGTTGTGGTGGGAGACACGATAACTGGAGACAGGGATTCCAGCAGTGCAAACAAGCTGGAGAGGGCTCCGTGGTGGGGCTGCTCTGCTGAGGCAAGTGGGCTCTTGAAATGCAAGCTTGGAGTTTTATGTAGCCCCAGGCAGGCCAGCAAGTCCCCCCACCCCCTGGTCCTACTGGCCTGGACAGAGGACCCTTCAAACTGGTTCTCAGGGCTGGCAGTTCTGCTCGGCTGTGCAATCCTAGTCCTGGGAGGGAAGCCATTTACCCATAGCTGGCTGAGGGTGGGCCTGGGGTGAGCTCAGCTGAAGGTCTGAGGTCCAAGTCCTTGGCTCTCCCTGCCAGCTCACCTCAGTTCTGTGGGCTCTAGGACCTCCTTCTCCCTTACCAGTCCCCAATCCATCTTAAAGCTATTGTTTACAGACCACTGACTTCTGTCCCTCTCCTCCCGGGTACTAAGGGGAATCTCAGGGGCATGAAGAGCTCAGGAGGAAATATTGGAAATGGCCTCACCATCTTCCCCTCAGATCTGGGCTGCATCGTTCTTGAGCCAAGATAACTAAAGCAACAAGGGAGAGGCCTCTGTATGCTCCATGCTGATGTCTAAGCGGCCTGGTTGTAAGGTGTTGGGTTGAATTTCAGTGTACCCAAGGCTGCCTACAACCCTCCTTCCAAAGGAATATGGCAGAAGGGCAGCCAGGCCAGGTGCTCCGGAGTCAGTGGTATGAACAAAGCAGAATGCCCCTCCAGTGCCCTCTTCCCTGGGACAGGGTTTCCTCAAGGGTGCTGAGTCTGAGAGCTCTGGAGGGAGAGCAAGGGAGCCTGGGAGGAGAGAGGAGTCTGGAGATGGAGGAGTGGCAGGAGGCTGTCCCTACTAGACCTTTAGTTACCCCATCGCCCCTGCAATGCTGGTGTCTAGCCTGCCCAGGACCCAGGTCTATTTCCTGAGGTTGGAGAGTATGAGGTCCCTTAGAGTGGGGATCCTGGAGGACCAAAGGACAAGACCAGCCCCCCCTCAAATGAGGGTTCCCTGGAATCTTGGTCAGAGAGTTGAGTTCAAATCCCACCTCTGTGCTGTATTATTGATGAGTCCTCGGCAAGCCCCTTCTTTTACTTTATAATTAAAGCCTGATTTTTCCATCATGAAATGGAGAACACAATGTCCACCTTACAGGACCATAGGCAGGAATCGATGGGATAATGATGT